GAAGTGGAAGAAAGAGACTGGGTAATAGTTGTTTACGAAGATGGTTGGTCATACTTGTAACTATATCCAACGTATAAATCGTAATTTCTACAAATATACATATAAATGAACATAGCTCAGTATTCTCAATACGAATTCACCTTGAAAACAAATGTGAATCAAGTTTACGTTGAACCCTTACGTAGGCTATCCTACCTAAAAATTGAATTCATATTGCGCAATTATTGTTTTATTTTTGTTGTTGTAACATTTGAAGATGAATCATAGCCACAACCGATTACCAAAGGCAAAATGGAGAGCCAAAGTACTTCAAATTGTACAGATGAAGTGGAAGAAAGAGACTGGGTAATAGTTGTTTACGAAGATGGTTGGTCATACTTGTAACTATATCCAACGTATAAATCGTAATTTCTACAAATATACATATAAATGAACATAGCTCAGTATTCTCAATACGAATTCACCTTGAAAACAAATGTGAATCAAGTTTACGTTGAACCCTTACGTAGGCTATCCTACCTAAAAATTGAATTCATATTGCGCAATTATTGTTTTATTTTTGTTGTTGTAACATTTTGTAAAAATAGGCCCTTAACCTCAAGGTCCACTATGAAACGTCACCTCTATCAAAACTTAAACTGTTTACTTATAAATTGTTTATCTGAATTTTACTTACAATCTGTTCAGCTTTTTAAAAAGAAACAAAAAAGTTTATAAAATAGAAATATGAAAAACTACATCTAGATTCTTACCATATTTTATAGTATTTAGATACACACTCTGATGCGAGACCTAATTCACACCATCCCAATATTCAGAAACACATCATCCTAATTGTATTTTTAAGGGCACGTCTCTAAGCCAGTACAGTATAAATATAGTTTCAATCATTGAATAATTGGGAAACATAATTCGATAAAAAAACAAACTTTAAAATTATACAACATTTTATTCAGAGTAATTTAATAAAAAAATGCATAAAAATACAGTGATTTAACACAAAGTATCTACTATTTTAAAGAGTTGTACACATTATTATTTTACTGATATATTTTTCACGTAAATTTCTTAATTCATTTGGAATGTTCCTCCATGGCTGCTAATTGATGTGGAAGTTTATTGAATGACTCTTATAAATAATGAATATAAAAAATAAATAAACCGATTTATCTTCCAAAGAATCTTGACTTAGCATGAAGTTGAAAATAATAAATTCAAGCGAATGTAGCTATCAAAGTTCATATAAGCACACTGACGTACGAATCTAACATTTACGCAAAAATATAATTACAATAAAAAAAAGTTCCATTTCGATGATATATTATGTAATTTGATTGTACATAAAAAATACACCTTCTCTTTACCAATTATCCGCCCCATTGAATAAATCTTTCTCAGTTACACAAACGTAAGTATTACAAGCTTAATTGGAATCCACGGCACAAAGAAAAATGTTTTGCTAATTGCTTTTCATTAGGCATTTGAATTGACTTAGGTCGTTTAGCTGGAATATTTTTTACACATACCATTAAGAATAGCTACAAATTGTATGTGTGCATTTTAACAGAACTTTGTGTGTTACGCAATGTATTGCTTAGTAAGTGCTCAGATCTATTTTGTAATCATATCTGGGCAACGGAGGATACATGAGAGTAGAAAATTTATTCCACTTCTACCATTGATTTTGATAAACAATCAACATTACCACTAGTTTATGGAAATCGCATTTTGATTAAATCAATCTATTAGTGCCATCCATGACCATAATTATAACTTATTAAAATTCAAATAAAGAAAATGTAAAGAAGCAAAATAAAAAGGTTAATAAAGGATGTGATCCTGAAGATTTAAATTGGGAAAATGAAGGGATAGACACACCTCGACCTGTAAAGTTAATTACTACACAATATATGGCCCCAGTTTATCGTTCAAAATACTTTCATAGACAAGTTTTTACACCTGAACAAGAAGCTATGATTGTGTATTATTGTATAAAGAGGTCAAAGATTAATTATAGCCTCACTTATGCTTTGGCTAGGGAACTAGCCTACAAATATGCTGTCGCCCTGAACCTTAACGAGCGTATTCTTCAAAAAGAATGAATGTACCATTTCATGAAGAGGCATCCAGATCTTTCACTTCGGCAAGCTGAAAACACAAGTTTATCACGTAACAGAAGTTTTGCTGCCCAAATGTTGGCATTTTTTGTTTTTGATAATTTAGAAACTTTGCTCGCAAATGTACAAAGTGCAATTGTGCTCAAAGACATTTTCCAAACAAATAGTAAATTGTTCTCCCTTTTACGTTGAACGCCATATACACATTTCAAAAAGTGAATTAAAAAAATAATTTATATCTACTAATATGAAGAGGAAACATTAGTATATTAAGTTTAATTTGTCATACTTGACAAAAGTTTTGCAAAATAATTCACAATTTTATCCGTTAAAATTAAATAAATAGTACATTACGTCTACCGCATACTTTAGAATATTAGGCGTAACTAAGATCTTTGTAACTATCATGTTCTTGTTAACATTTCAAACAACTAATCTTTCTGATTTGTTTATTCAAATAATAATTTTTAAAAGGAAGTTATTAATTGAAATTTATTGCTTTTTACCTTGTTTTGTAACATCGTTTTTAAAGGACACCAATATATATATATATATTAAAAAATATTCGTAACCAACAACCATACAAAGACATTAACAAAATTGATAAAATATGAGTTGCCTAATAAACACGAGTTACAGACACGCCTTCAAGAGCAGAACGCAACACGATGGCTGTACCTACATTGCCTATTGGCCAGACGTCGGGGGTTTTCAATACTTAACCGAGTTGTTATCGAATAATATCAATAATTCGTTTGATATTTTTACTGTTGATAAAACCATTTACTTTTGAATAAAAGAATAGACATACCATCTATTGGAATGTCTATTGAGAATTGAACAGATGTAGTCAATTTTTATCGAATATTATTTTAAAAGTTGCTTTCTCTCACCCTCTCAGTTTCGTTAAAAGAGTATTTAGTTCACTAATTCAAAAACGTATTTTCATTCATAGTATTCATGCATGATATGATCATGTTGGATCGTTGTAAAAAAAGAATAGGTAAATTAAAATATTTATCTCAGCGGGATAGAAAATTAAACAATGAACAAAGGAACACATTTAGCAACGTTTTAAGAGTAATAAATTACACGTTTTGATATTTTACAAGGATGGCTCAACTCAAAAGGCGATGTATTCCTAATTGGGCTTCACTTTGATAGTCCCCTAGTTAAACATGTGAAACTAAGTGTACCGCTTAAGGTGATGTTGGAATTACTGTAGAAAAGTAAATATACACCACTGTGAATTTTAATTCTTAAGATGTGTAACTGTTCTGTATTTAATTAATTATTACTATATTTATCATCATAATTATTGTACAATTAGTGATAGCTTATTTCCAAACCAAATCTGTATTTTTAAATCTCATTTCAATGTCATTAAGTATTGTTGTATCAAATGTTAGAGTCTCACTCACACAAGCCTACATAAAACACACACACTATCTCGGCTGTGTTGCCCGATGCAGGACGAATCCTATTGGTTAAAAAATGTGGCGTGATATGGACATGGATAAATTTGCGGTACCCCTCTAAGAAACATTGAGGTAGCGTCCCTTCCCCCTCCAAAAATAATGTTCAGTTGAAATGTAACCCTCCTCGGCTGAATACGTGCATTGCGCCGTATTTCGTTAGTCTTTCTCTATTTATAAACTTTTACCTCTAAAACCGTTTCTCGTACTCTCTACCGCTCTTCTATCGTTTGTCAAGAACAATTAATACAACTTTCTCGACGTCAAACTCTGTAAAAGGTGTTTTCTCTTAAATAAGTTATTTAGTACGTTATCGCTGTCGCCGCTAAGCAGTTACGTCCGCCGCGTCTTCGTCGTGAGTGCCTGTGTCAAGTGCCAACTTTAGTGGATTAGGATTACTGGATTCCCCACAAGTGTTCCCCAAAAGTGTGCACACTTCCCTCATCTCTACTCAACCTACAAGTTGGCTACCCTCTTCCCAAGACGTCGTCTTCTGCCATCCACTCACGGCTTCCGCCCATGTGCCACCTCTACTCTCTAGTGTTTCTTGTTACTCTTCACCCTTGGATTGTTGGTGAGTCATATATTACCCTCTTTACGCCCCAGTAACAATAGTTAGTTACACACTAAATGATAGATTTATTGATGAATTCACTGCAATATCCCATATGTTTTAGGTAAAAAATCTGGCTGTTTGTCAGATTTTAATGGATTTTAGTACAACTATCCACCCCTGTGACGTAGTGTTGCGCTGCCCCAACTGCAGCATGGCCTGTTTTTTTAGTGGGGCCTAGGGCTGTAGCGATTGCGTAAGTTTTACTTGCATCCTACTTGTAAATGTAAACACAAACATGCACGAAGGTTAAACTTGCAAGGCTGACTTGCATGCATTTTTTACTTGCGCCAGTAATATTTGTTCTTACAGAATGCTGAATTGTAAAAACAACCTAAGTGACATTTTTGGCGAAATTGAGTTATTGATACCACATGAAACAATTCGTGTAGGCGCATCCTTTGGTGCAAAAAGAACACATGTACAACACTTGCTTCATACAAAAAATTGGGTTTGAAAATTTCGTTTGTTGTAAGAAAAACACAAGTGCAGTACATATGTTGTTTTTACACCAAAGTCAGCTGTTGCAAGCCTGTACTTTTGTTGGTAGCTCTGCGCTAGCTGTCAGTCTAACCATCTAACCTCAACACACAACACTGCAGTTTGGTATGTTGGTGCTTTGTTCTTAGACAAATGTTTTATTTGTTTTCTACAAAATGGAAGAAAATAATGAAACTGGTATAGCTTTATATGAGGAAGAAGTGCCAAATGAGCAGCCAGTTAAAAGGAAACGTGGAGTTAGAAATGATGATAAATACATGCGAAACATGATTAAAAAAGCAAGGTTAAAAGGAGATGCCTATCAAACTACCAAAGGAAAAAGAGTTAAAGCAGCAGAAATCGGTTCAGATTGCAAGTAAGTACCAATATAACAATTATATTATGTAGAATATTTTGTTGTTGTTTTAAACTAACTGTAGATTAGTGCCTACCATGTCTATGATTACTTGGTAAGTTAACCTAAAGGTACTTCCTGTTGAGGTTAGCCTATGATTACTAGGTAAGTTAAGCCTAAGGTACTTTCCTGATGAGGTTAGACTATGCAATAGTAACGTTTATGTAGAGTATCATGCTGTTCAGTGCCTACCATGCCTATGATTACTAGGTAAGTTAAACCCAAGATACTTTCCTGTTGAGGTTAGGTTATGGAATAGTTACTATAAAGTTTGTTTGTTTTAGGTGCAGAAAAAAAATGTTTTTCAAGAACAAATGAAAATGAGCGCATATCGATCTTTTCTAAATTTTGGGATATTGAAACGAAGGATGCTCAAGATATTTATTTGCAATCATTAATTTTGAAAGAAAATGTTTCTCGTCGAACCAAAAAACAAATACGTAACCAAGAAGGAGGCCTTGCTGATGATGAAAGCGAAGATGACCAGCGTACAGATGACCCAGAGCCGCCCAATGACCAGCGTACAGATGACCCAGAGCCGCCCAGAGACCAGCGTACAGATGACCCAGAGCCGCCCAACGACCAGCGTACAGATGACCCAGAGCCGCCCAACGACCAGCGTACAGATGACCCAGAGCCGCCCAGAGACCAGCGTACAGATGACCCAGAGCCGCCCAACGACCAGCGTACAGATGACCCAGAGCCGCCCAACGACCAGCGTACAGATGACCCAGAGCCGCCCAGAGACCAGCGTACAGATGACCCAGAGCCGCCCAGAGACCAGCGTACAGATGACCCAGAGCCGCCCAACGACCAGCGTACAGATGACCCAGAGCCGCCCAGAGACCAGCGTACAGATGACCCAGAGCCACCCAATTACCTCCGTACAGTAACTTTCCGCTACTTTATAGATGTTGATTGTGATGTCAAATTAGAGGTATATAAGCATGCCTTCTGTAGTATATTTGGAGTAAAGAGTATGCGTGTTAGACGCTTATGCAACCTTTTGAAAGAAAGCAAGCTCCCAAAAGATTCACGGGGAAAGGCTCCATCTAAAACGCTATTCCTCCTGAAACATGTAAACTTATAGAAGACCACATCAAGTCATTTCCCAAAAAAGTTTCACACTATTCAAATAAGGATGTGCGCAACTATCTTGATGCACAGTTATCAGTTAAAAAAATGTATGACCTTTTCAAAGAAAAACACCCATATGCTAAGGTGAATTATTGGTTCTACCTCTACCACAGAATTTTCAAAGAGAGATTTAACTTAAGGTTCGGTCGACCTCAAGTTGATACTTGTATCACCTGTGAAGCCTTAGGCATTAAATTAAAATATCCGCTTTTGAATGAGACAGCTAAACGTGTAGCTGCTGCTGAACTTATGGTTCACAAACGCCGCAGCAAGAAGTTTTATGACATGTTGAAGGAAAGTAAGGAAAAATCTTTAAAAAACCCAACTGTAGCTTGCATATGTTTTGACTATATGATGGTAATTCCACTACCAAAGATTCCTGTACAAGATATCTTTTACTTGCGACAGTTGTCTGTCAACGTATTTTGTGTAACAAACGTTAAAACAGGCTATTCTAAACTGTACATTTACCATGAGGGAATTTGTAAGAAAAGCCCAAACGAAGTAGTGTCATTTATTGACGATTATATAAAAACAGAACTTAATGGAGAAAATATTGAGCAACTTATCATGTTTGCCGACAATTGCGGTGGTCGAAACAAGAACCATGCTCTTGTGCGATATTGCATGGCAATAATTGAATCAGGAAGATTTAAAAAAGTGGACCAGTTTTATCCTCTGAGAGGCCACTCATTTTTACATTGTGATCGAGCTTTTGGGACCATTAAAAGGGCTTTGAAAAAATTCGACCGAATCTATACTCTTAAAGAAGTAGTAGAAATTGTTGTAAACTCTTCACCTAAATTTTGTGTGCACGTTGTTGAGAGTGAGGATGTATTAAATTTCCATGATTGGTGGCCTAAATTTTACAAGCGTTCATGCTTGTCTGATGATTCCTACGGAAAAGAGGTAAGGAAAAGTGACAAAGTACGTTTCATGATATCAAAGGTGCATCATTTTAGTCATGAGATTAAAGGAAAGGTGGATTGTAAAGAATTTATTGGAAGCATTATGCCAAGCAAAACTTTCACACTGCGAATGCCAGTAAAAAGTTGTCAGACATCGCTGGACTTTCCAAAAGAAGCCGCATACAATAACAAACTGGCCATTAACATCAAGAAAATGGATAATTTAAAAAGTCTTATCAATTACATTCCCCAAGAATTCAGAGACTTTTATGAAGAGATTTATGAATGGCCAACAACAACAGCAGCTGATGATGATGACGTGGTTCCCGTAGAAACCGACTAGTAAAATCTAAAAGAAAACATCTAGCCTATTATATTGTTTGTTATAATCCATAACATTCCTTAAAATATGTTTGTAGTTAATAAATACAAAGTTTTTTTCAGTCAAGTTTTATTATTTTTTATCCTTTGGCACTTAAAAATTAAAAATCTAAAATTTCAATTATTGGTTTGGTGTAAAAACAACACAAGTACAATCATTATGTTTATAAAAAAAGTGTAGAAAATTTTTTAACAATTTTTTAAAAAAATAGAGAAGACCTGCAGAGAGGATGTTAACAACATATTATAAGTACATAAAATAACTATGACCTTTTTAGAAAATAAACAGTTTTTTTTTAATTTCCCAAAAGTTGTGTTTTTGCACTTAGGTTGTTTTTACAATTCAGCATTTACAATTCAATTCAGCAAGTAACAACTTTCGCGTAAGTTCCACTCTATTTGCCTGTGTTAACATGCGTCTTGCAGACCACTCCTACTTGTAAGCAAGTGAAGAGAGTGTTTAGTCGTGTGCCGATGTGCTCTGTACATTTGAGTTTAAGGTTAATTTGTGTATTTGTTATAGTTGTAGTGGTTATTGAGTTGTCATGGCTGATACCAACGTGAACAATGAAAGTGAACCCGTGATAGGAAAGGAGACTGCCAAGAGGGAAGGCAACATGGTAAAAAGTGTGATAAATGGAGCATAAATGACATTGAAACTTTTTGGGAATTGTATGAGGGACACCCTTGTTTATGGGATTATAAATTGGCAGAATATAAAGATAGAAATGTTGCAGAAGAAGCCTGGTTACAGATTGTAAAAGAAATGAGTATGGAAAACTTAACTGTTAAAGATGCCAAAGAGAAGATTCGCAGCCTGAGGAATACGTATTCAAACGAATTAGTAAAAATAACAAAAAGCAAGTCTTTAGGATCTCGTCTAGATGTCGTTTACACTCTGACTCTTAGGTGGTTTCCAACAATGGACCACATATTAGGAGCATTCGTGAAGACAAGAGAGAACCTAACAATTGGAATTCCAGATGAGGATGTTAAAAAGGTAGGATCTTGATGCTGTTGACCTCTAAAAACTGGTTAATGGACTTGTAGACTGCTCTGACCTGCTTGGGAGGATCTACTTCCATGTTCCTTCTGCCACAAGATCCAGAGGCATGTTCTCAAGACGGCAATATAGTACCTACTACGCCCAACTATGGCTCGCATCCAGCAGCTTGGCAACGTTATATCTCCATGTAGACTGCCCTGACCTGCTAGGGAGGATCTACTTCCATGTTCCTTCTGCCACAAGATCCAGAGACATGTTCTCAAGAAGGCAATATAGTACCTACTACGCCCAGCAGACTAAACTATGGCTCGCATCCAGCAGCTTGGCAACGTTATATCTCCATGTAGACTGACCTGACCTGCTTGGGAGGATCTACTTCCACGTTCCTTCTGCCACAAGAGTTCTCAAGAAGGCAATATAGTACCTACTACGCCCAACAGACTAAACTATGGCTCGCATCCAGCAGCTTGGCAACGTTATATCTCCATGTAGACTGACCTGACCTGCTTGGGAGGATCTACTTCCACGTTCCTTCTGCCACAAGATCCATAGACATGTTCTCAAGAAGGCAATATAGCACCTACTACGCCCAGCAGTAGCTCGCATCCAGCAGCTTGGCAAATTTGTTATCTCTGCATGTGGATATATTTGCCTCCAGTGAACAGATAAGAGTGTCAGACGCCCGGTCACCTCGCTTTGCGTAGAATAATTCACTTTTTTTACCCAAGGGCTATCTCTATGTGCACTTGTTATTATTTTTTTTCTTAAATGTCCAAATTGCTATATTAATTTAACTTTTTTTACTCAGGCTGCCACCACCGAGGTTTTCTTTATTTTCAATTGTATTAACAGCAGGGAACAAGTAGACAAATATAAAAACTCCTCTTCATCACTATTCATGATTCGTTAATTAAATGAAACTTTCGCCATAGTAACTTTTCCATTTGTATAATAAACTTGTTTACAAGTGTAAATGTTCATTTGTCATTAAACAAGTATTGGGATTTGTGTGCAAACTTTCAACTTGTATATCACACAATTGTCTCTCACACATATTCTTATTCATGTACCCCAGTGTAAAGGTTCGTCTTAATGTATTGGTAGGGCATCCTCATGTCTCTGTGTTTACCAACGATTCAGAAATCTTAAAATTATTAATGTGTTTTTCTAAAATTAATAATATTATACAAACAATTAATTTACAACAGCAAATACTATTTAGCTTTAATAATTGAACTTTGAAGTATTTCGTGTGGATTGAAGCATATATGAATTGCATAGGTAGGTAACTAAGTGCGTGGTAAATACACACGATAGTGTATAGTGGTAACGAGAAAAGTAAAGTATTTATTAGGAACTGGACCGAACTGTCCTTATTTGTTGGGCTTTTAATAAAGTCGTTAGGTCGTAAATAGACAGCTGATCCTTAGTCAGTAACAAAACTACACTCCATCCTACACTCACAATGAATTCACATTTCGCTTAAATGATATACTTCAAAGTGTATATTGCTGGTTTTAAGAATTAAATCGATAGTTTTTTTTTGTTAAAACTGCATGTTGCATAACACAAACAGTTGCTCGATCTATTTAATAAGAATTTTACGTTTTTCACAAATAATTGCTCTGTGCTCCACGTTTTAACTACCTTCTTCTGGTAATTTGTTTCGTAAATTTTATTTTCTTAAAAGTCAAAGTATTGACATAGTTCATGAAAATGTATTTGATTTATATAGCTCAGTAAAAAACATGATGGTTTAGACGGATTTTAGTGATACAGTTGTACATCTGAAAGTGAATAAAGCTTAAATTATTAATTTTTTTTTAATATCTCCCTTACTTTAATCGTTACAATAAATCATTAAACTGATTCTTAATAAATATTTTAGGACTCATTTTAATTTATGTATTTTTTAAGTAGGAAGTACGTTTTTAAATACTTTAACATACAATATTATTGTAACATATAATTAGCGTTGAGAAGAACGGAATAAAAGCAATAAATAAAGTCAAGCAGCGAGTTGTTTGGTCTCGATAATGACAGCCAATTAGAGCAGAGCTTTGACAAGACCTCTAGATTAGCATTCGTCATTAGCTTTGTAAACCTCTAAACGTCTGGCGCTGGCCTTTGATTATTTACATCCATTTAAATCTGTCCGTAACACAGTGTTGGGAATAAACAAGATTTATTGAGCTGCGAGATATTATTCAGATTGTATGGTGTATTAAGCACGTCAGCATGGATTGTACTGTATTTCAAAAATTTAGCTTTTTATATGACACAAAAATCATACCATTATGTTCTGTGATTGGTAATAGTTTTATTTTGGGCGATTGAACAAACAATAAAATGTCGAAGTTAGTCATGTAACCATAATATTCGAAACGGTTTTGATGGCTCGGAACATACTCGTATGACTTTTGTGGGGACTAAACATTCAAGTAAGACCGCTATTGGTGAACACAGCGATACGGTAAGAACCACTGAACTTGTACTATCATTGAATTGACTTACTAACCAACAAATGACAACGTCAGTAGAAAAGTCGAAACATAATTGATCAGGCAACACGAGAAAGAGCCATACTTTCATAGATTACACATACATACATAGAGCGGAGGCTGGCGTTTACCCCCCCTCCCCCCCCCGGTGGGAATTTTCGACATATACATTTTTTGGTTTGTATTGACATGTACTTTAAGGTTTTAGGTGTTTGCCACTTGTAAATTACAGCATCTTCCGGAAAACACGAAAATATCATGAATATATATATTTAAAAAAATGGTTTTTCTTTAGCGAGTTCGTTTGGCTCTACAACCCGACCGATTTTCATGATTGAGGTCTCAAATTGAAGGTATTAACGCACAGATTTCACATCAAGCATCGTCATATAGTTGCCTACAGTCCCACTCGGCTTATACGTAAACAACATTTTTTCCCATGTATTTCTTACGGGAGTTAAATTTGGTTTTTCTTTTTCGAGTTCGTTTGACGCTTCTACCCACCCGATTTTCATTATTGAGGTCTCAAATTGAAGGTATGCACGCACAGATTTCACATCAAGCATCAGTACATATTTATCGACAGTCCCATTTGGCTTATACGTAAATGAAATTTGCCCCCCATGTATTTCTAAAGGGAGTTAAATTTGTTTTTTTTATTTTCCTAGTTTCTTTTGCTCTTCTACACGTCCGATCTTCATGATTGAGGTCTTAAATTGGTAGTATGTACACATATATTTCACATCAAGCATCATCGTATATTTATTTACTTTATTACTCGACCAAAAAACATAAATTCGATATATTTTTTAATTCGTATTTCAATTTAAATTGTACGGTATTTTACCATTTATAATTGTATCCTATATATTTTGGTCTAAGAACCTTCAGTGAAATACCGGCTTGCATTTAAGATATTAGTTATTCAAATCGGACGGGTTTCAAGCAATAAACGCAAGGTCCAATCCAATCCAACATAAAAAAAAATTATAAGGTTTTTCTATGATTGAATATCAATAGCTCCAGTTTTGTTTACGTTTTTTATATGTTTTAGACTCAAAACAATCAGTCAATTGTAGGCTTTAATTTGAGCTATTGATCGTTTGAATCAGTTAAGTTTAAGATACTGTATTACACAATCAAAAATCATAAATTTGATTATTTCTCAGATATGATATTTATTTTAACGCTGCAGCGCAGCATGGGTCCTTTAGTATAGATTGTTTAGTTTGATTTGATTTGATTAGTCGATTCCTGTGCGTAGGACGGGCCCACAGCTAGTTAGAATTTGAAAATGCAAGTATGGTGAAGTCATCAGATTGTTCTTACAGTGACATGCAAGCAAATTAAATGAATGAAGTGAGCAAAGTATTTTGCAAGTACTGTACACTGTACTTGATGCTTTTGAACAATGCATTCTGCTTGAAGTTGAAAACCGTGATCAGAATTCCTAGATGGTCTGTTTATCAGCTGGAAGACCTGTACCCGAATCGGTGGAAGACAATTTACTCAATGTAGATAATCTAGGGAAAGCTGCACGCAAACAGAATAGTTGAGATATGAGCTAAAAGAAATATTTTCCTGGAGTTTTACTGCTGTCCCAGGAACGTAATATTAACCTTGAGAAGCTGATGACATACCCATTGGTTCCAGGACCATGGGCTTTAGCCACTACCGATGGATGCCCAACAAAAACAGAAAAGGCCAAACTGCTCCATGCTTTGGAGAACAAGGGTATATAGTAGACGAACCTTCCAAGATTGAAGAATGTATGCATGTAATTGATGGTATGGCTTACTTTTAGGTTCTTACTAATTTTTTCAGAAACCTCTGGTGAACTAGCACAGATTGCCTTCAGCAGGATATACTTTATTACGGATACCTATTTAGATGTATCTATTAAAAACATTGAAAGGAAGAAGGGGATTTGGAGACACGTTTTTAATGAGAGGTCCAAAATCAAGATCCCACGGGATTGGAAAAAAATCCTAGCTAATAGTAAAAATAAGGAACAACGGGTTAACATGCTAAATAATGAATGGTCTCAGCACAAATATGCATAAATTCAAACAAGCTTCAATACACGTTTCAAGGGTAATGTAAGGTTCTTTTTGGTGATATTTTTAAATTCACCCCCCACCTACAAACAGGGTTGCTAAGAGAAACTTAAATTTTTTTAAAGGCAACCCATATCAATCAGCACATTATTTTAAAGAAATTTAAAAAGAAAACTAATGTCGCAAATCCGATTTTGATACGAGGAAAACGAAGTTTTATACGTTTATTTTACTGGAACATTAAATTCCAGTAAAATTTACAGAAAAATTTCTCAATAAAATTTATTTAATTTAAATAGAATCTCTTAAAATCTCTTTCCTAGAGGTACTCGTTAAATCTAATGTTATTTAAATAGATTTAATTGAAAATCAATTCAGGCCAATTTGAAATCCGCATTGCCTGCAGGTTTGCTGCAGCGGGGGTATTTTACTAACTTTTTTATTTTCATTTAAAGCCTTTGAATACATACTGAAGAAGTAAAAAAAAAATATTTCACCAGTAATTAACGCAGGCTACCCTTATGTAATTTAAATAAAACAGTTTTTAAATTTAAAAGTTTTTCTTTATTTTCCGGAATACGCTGTAATTTGAAAGAGGCAAACAACTGAATTCTTAATCTGGTAGGTAATACCAAAAAAAAAAGTATAAGTCATAAATTCCCACGGGGGGGGGAGGGTTTCATATTGGTGGCTCATGGTCTAACAGGTCGGTGTCCTGGAAACGTCAGTGAAGTATTGTTGACGTTGAGATACGTAAACCAATTATTTTGACTAATTACCCTGGGGCGATCATA